GAGAAGGATGAGAGGAGATTTGATCAACATGCTCAAGTACCTGACGGGTGATTGTAGGGAGGATGGGGCTAGGCTCTTCTCCATGGTGGCCAGTGACAGGAAAAGGGCTAATAGGTGTAAGTTGAAACACAGATGTTTAATCTCCGTATGAGGAAGAACTTCTTTGCTGTGAGGGTGACAGAGCGCTGGAACAGGTTGCCCAGAGAGGCTGTAGAATCTCCTTCTCTGAAGATCTTCCAAACTCGCCCAGATGCGACCTTGTGCCACGTCCTCTAAGTGTCCCTGACTGTGCAGGGGGGGTTGGACTAGATGATCTCTAGAGGTCCCTTCCAACCTCAACCATTCTGTGATTCTGTGAACAAGCCTCCATTTCTTCTAATGGAGAGATTTGCCAAAAGGAACACAGAAACCTAAATGGCCACCTTGCAAAAAATCGTACAAAGTGTACTTTAGAAGGGCCAATTTGGTTCATAATGTTTTGCAGACAGAAGGGACAATTAAGCTTGTCTGAAGCCTTGACCTAAATGCTTTGACTTCCAAGAGAAGAAACACACAAGAAAATAACTGAAGTTTGGTGTATTGTTCCAGCAGGCACCAAGACTGTGCTATGCAGTGCAGTGAGTAGGTGTGATTAGCTCATTTGTCATTAGTTGAAGCCAGCAAGAAACAGAAAGCAGAAGTCTGAGCACACGGAAGTAGCACCCTCCAATTCTGATTAGCTTCTTTTTTATACCACGTTGTGGTAAGTGACAGGCTGCATTTGCTCCCTTAACCCTTCTACAGGAGTGAATGTAGTAACTCCTGTACCCCCTGGAGAAAAAGGAACAGAACACCTCCCTCCACAGCAGCTGAGAGACAAAAAGAAGTAATTCTGCAAACTACCATCACCACCATGAAGGCGTCCAATGTTCTCAAGCTCATCTTAGTCCTGCTCTGCATTAACGTCAGCACAGAATGGCCTACGCACACAGTCTGCAAAGAAAGCAACTTGGAAATATATTACAAAAGCTGCGGTGAGACTTTTAAAATTTCTTTTTCTTTCTAGCTGGGCAAGACGGTGGTTCTAACACAGTGACAGCAGCTTACAAAACAGGCAATGAATGGAAGGGCTATACTTCTAGGCAAGCACTGGGTTTTGTTGTTAGAATGTTTTCAGTCTTCTAAGTAGAGATGGTTTGATTGACACACATACAGAAATCTGACTGTATTTAGTTAAAAGACAACAGACAGGAAATAATGTATGCAAATTCAGATTAATAACAACTGTAAAAAATACCTTCAATTCAGCTATTGAAAGAGAGAACTAGGATTTGTATCTTAAAGCTAGGTTAATAACAACAAAAAAGCAACAAAACGACAAACAAACAAGCAAAAAAATGAGGTAGACCCTGAATCTTTACCTTTTTAACCCTGCGATGACACTGAATCTTCAATGCACTGATCTGCTGTTTTCATAAGGTAATCTTAGGCTATGGTGATGTGTTCTCTGTCCTCCTACTTAGTGCCAAGGGACCTGGTGTGACAGTAGGAAGGAATCGTGTTCTTAGACGTTGTCACCATGCTTAGTGAGACTTCAGCAGCAGCACTTACCAGAGGCATTTCCCAGAGACAGTAGGGTTTGTTTGTTCTTTAAATCTGTAGAAAAGAAAAAGAGCAAGCAGCACTGGAATGACTGAAAATGAATTCACTGAATGGTGCCTGCTTCCCAGCGCTGCCGCTTTGCTGGCCTTGTGCCGCCCCTATTGTGCTGATCTGCTTTACAACTGGGACAAAGGGAATTAGATTCACAGACGCCTCATTCATTTTCCGCACGTGATGTGAAAAGTGATTCATGGCAAATGAGCACCCTAGAGTTTGTTTTTCCAATTCATCCAGATACAAAGGGTTTCCCAGGGGGCTTTTTCTCTTGTGGAGCTTTCATGCAGTTTTGCACACCCATTAAAATAAAGCCAGTGAGGGACAAGAGAAGTAAATAAATATTTGTAATGCAATTCTTTACTGGCCTGCTCCCAGGAGAATGAAGTCAGGCGTCACATGCTATATAAACGGATGTCCTGTATCAGAAAAATAATTAATTAGATATTGAATACAAGCTTTGCTATTACTGCTATTTTAGCAAGAATTCATTGTATAAATTAATTCCATTCCCTCAACAGGCCTCACTTAGCATGACATGCCTTAATACAGAGGCACACACTACAGCTGATCCAAATGATGACATCTGTCTGCTGGGCACGTGTCAGTCAGGCATTTCTTCTTACCATGCACACCACAGGGCTCAGTAACAAAATGCATTTTTTTAGAGCTCATATATCACTTATTTGAGTTTGCCTTGCACAGAAGGGTAACAGGTACAATCATTCAGGAGGAGTTCGCAGCTTGGGAAGCACAAGACAGACATAACACAGTTCTCTCAACATGAGAGAAGGTTTCTGTTCTCTTGGGCACAGCCACGGTAGGTGAGAGGATTACACGGATGTGGAAACAATGTGAGAATTAAATCAAATTTCTTGTTTGAAGCTGATCCTTCTCCCTCAGCAGCTTTGCAGAGTCAGTTGTGACCATACTCCCAGCTGCCATCCCTGTGGTCTGCCCTGCCTTTTTTCCATACCTGCTACTATGCCTGTAGTGTTTGAGCAGAATGCATGTCTGCATCTCAGCTCCAGTTCATTGTCTGGTAGTTTGTATAAACTGAAAAATCATGATTTCTGTAAACAGGTAGGATACAGGCATGCACTGAACCCCACTCTCACTCCATATTCTGAATGTCATAGAAGGAAACCTGAGTCTTTGGGGGTATACAAACATCCCATCACAAATCCCATTCCCACTCAGCCATGTCAAACTAAACCTTGAGGGACCCAGGACATACAACATGAGAAAGGGCTGGAAAAGATGCACTTGCACATGCACTTGGAAAAAAAATCATTGAAAGGAAATCAGAAGAAAATTCTTAATAACAAGTCCTTAGCAAATAACTCAGCCTAAGAGATGGGTGGTCTAGAAATAAAGTAAATAGACTGTATGCTGCCTCCTCTGTGTAACCACAGGAGACATAACACCGAGACAGTCTATAAACAGCTAGACATTTCCCATCAGAGCCACTCTTCCTCCCAGGAACAAGTGACAAAAATGAAGGAAGATCTTCAATGATCACAAATCACTTTAGAAACCTGGGCAGGGATCCTAAGATAAAAGTGGTGCAGGTTAACATCTAACTGAGAAAAGAGAACCACAATTGGCAAGTCTATGCAGAGACGTGAAAAGAATATGCTACACAAATGGCTGATTCCTATCCCTTTTTAATTTCACAGGGATTTCTACAATAATCATGCTTTTGATCTTTTCAGTTGCACTGTAAAGGCATTTCTCTGAGAAGGGAAAGTCAGGAAGGCAGGGGTAGCTGAGTGCCGCGAGCAGATTCCAGTGCTCTTTGAGTGTCAGGCATCTACTTGAACGTGCAAGCACAAAATATAGCTCTTTGACATGTCTAGCAGCACCTGCCTCTAGACCATTCATATAAGCTTAATTGCAGCACTCTCTGTTAAGTAGCCATGAAAACAGTTTTACATTGCAGCACACAAATGAGGCCTTCTTCATAGCACAAAACAAGAGATTATTGCTGCAGATCCCTAGAAAATATTTTCCAGCTGCTTTTACAGCTCTCTTTCATGAAGTGTTAGTTGGGTCTATGTCAACAAGTCAGAATTTTAGATGTCTGTTTTTGTTTCAGCCATACCTGGACTGGTGTGCTCAGGGATTAATAAAGCTCTCTGTTTAGGTTAGGACCTCAGAGATTTCAGAGCTGCCTAGTGCTTCAAATCAGAGGTTCAACAATGCAGAGAGGCTAGCTAGAGGCAGGTGGTTCTTAGAAAGGGTCTAGAGAGCATCTACCATGAAGGACTTTTTGTCTTCTATGCTCTGGAGGAATAAACAGGGAATATCAGGGAGATCTGCAGGAGAGTCAAAGTAGTAGTATTTGGAGATGGCATCTTGAAGGAGAGTCCCTATGCTTTATAAAACACTGTTCAGACCACATGGGATTTCTGGCTATCAGACACAAACAGATTTCCTAGTTCATGCCTGTCTTTTTTTTTTTTTCTTTTTTTTTCCTGTTTTGATCTGAAGCAAGACTAATAGCCATCAATGGAAGTTTCAGGAAATAAAAAGTCAATCACTATTCATTTCAGCCTCCAGAACCTAAGTAGGAAACAGACTGCACCCTTTTTTCAGCTTTTTATTTGCATATCCATTACTACTACTACTACTACTACAAAACATATTAAGGGATATGAGCTACTTTTTGCTTTGATTAATGACTTGATTAATGATTAATTAGACATAGTTGCAGGGTCCTCTGCTCCTGTTTTGGAAGTTATTCCTAAATGCCAATGTCCTTTCTTAAACACAGAAAATTTAGATGAAACCTACGTCCAATGAGCTCGAGAACTGCTTGCATGGCATTATGTCACACTTCAAAGAGGGTCACCTCTGTGAAGTTTATTCCTACCCTACTGTCATACAGTAGGAAACAGGAGCATTGCTCCCTTCAGTATAAGATAGTGCTGGACTATCCTGACAGATAAACTCTCATTTGTACTGTCTTTCCTTGAACTTGTGAACTCAGATTCTGATTTCCTAAAATGGTCACTAGAAGTCAACAGGGTTATTCTGGTGTAGAATCTGGCCTTTTCACCTTATAGGGTGTCTATGCCCTATACCCTAACAGGAGTTAGGCTCTGCTTTGAGACAGTTTTTGAATGCTAAAAAAAAAAGAAATAGAAGTGGAGATTGATATACTAAATAGATTGCAATTTTCTGATAATGTGTTTTTCAATACTGAATAGTTTCAGTCTTATTGGGGTCCTGTCACAGAGTCAGTCCATCACATTCTATTTCCTACATATTGAGAAGTCAAATATATTATTTGAGAGCCCTTTTTTGTGCTTCTTCTTTTTCTTGTTTTATATATCTGTAACATCCCTGATCATTCAGCAATACCAACCCGCATTACCAGTCTTCCTAAATCCTCATCACTGTAACAATAATTTAGAGCAAATTTGTTTCTGCTTTCTATGCTAACCCATCTTAAGCTAGGTTGCTGGTTGCTTTTCCTCCAGATATGCATTCCCTGGCCACACACTTATAACCTTAAGTTAAAAGATATAAGTAACTTGATAGCTTTCACTGGAAAAGGAAAGTCTGCAAAAACTCTCACCTCATGCATTTCCAGGGCAAATGTTCTCCAAGACATTTGGTAAAAGAGGATTTTTTTTTCCATTATTCTTTATTTTTGGCAGATGGATTGAACCAGATGTTTCTCTTGGACTTATTTATTTATTTCCCTCAAGCAGTCTCCAGAAATTGCTTCTGCTTCTAAAATATTTAAAGCCACATGAGCCATCAACTCCCCTCTGATCTCTGTTGCATAGATTGCTAATGGGAAAATAAGCAAAGAACTTAAGAATTTTACTTCAAAACATTTTTGTGCTTGTTTGCTCTGTCCAAGCCATCTTAGTGTCATAGCCTGGCTGCCCATCTGGTATAGCTTTTTCTTATTCCAAAGGGAAGTCCAGGTGTTGACAAGTGTATTTCTGACACCACATTCTAACAAACCAAAGTTATCATCAAAATCAAGGTAGCATGTATGTGAGTGTACATGTAAATCTTCCTGTAAATTTTTAGTCCCTCCATGAATTAAAAGTATCTGATATGTTTCATTCTGCACTCCATCAGAGGATTAGAAGTTTCTTTTCCAAAGTGACCTCACTAGATGTTCCTAATTTAATTCTCTCTTCTCTTTCAGAGTAAAGAGAATGCTTACTAAGTTTTAAAATGCAATGTTAAGGAGGAATGGGAGACAATTTCATACCTCCAAGGTACTTTGGACAAAACATTAGGTACAGTATCCAAATTTTGAACCATTTAGCAAGAATAATAATGCTTTCGCTGAGACAAGTCGTGGAGAGAATTAACCTCAATTGTTCGTCCCTCATCACAGTTTAAATTTTCC